TCATATTGCCCGTTACCATCACTGAACAGCAGATCCTAGTGACTATGGCGTCTGCCCCGTCTGCTGTTCATCACACACTAGTGTGTAGTAAAAAACGTACGGGAGGCCAACAACAAGGCGTTCAGTATTTACTTCTCATTCGTATCATTAGGTCGGATGGATATTTACTTCTTTTGACCCGTGAACTGGAATTCATTGTGAAACTAGGTCAACAGGTCAGCTTAATCTGTCTGCGATATCGCTCATTTTCGGTTTGAACAATCGTTATCCATGCACTGTTGTGCGTCGGTCTTGGTTGCTGTCTTTTGGCTGCTCATTTGAATGAAGCAGCACGAGAAAGATTGTAAGGATGAAAGTAGAGTCGAGGAGAAAATTGAGAACGTGCACGAACGCCACTGTTTACGACACAGCCACATCACTCAATGTCTCTAATCATCCATTACGATTACGTCCCCAGCCAGGGAGCCCAACAGGACCTATGTGACCCAGTGCCCTGTTTTGGGTTTTCATACCTTCGTGCCAGGTCTTAGTTTGACCACCCTTAGTTTTATTCCACCTACTACCGGCCTCGGTGAACATCGCTCGCCACGGCAACCTATCTGGTGACATGCGTAATACATGCCCCAACCAACGTAATCTGTGGAGGTCGATCATTTGCTCCAGTGAACGACCGCGACTGCCTGAAACTCTATGCCTAACCTCAGCATTGCTCGTCCGGTTACCCCACCGGACTTGTGCAATGCGACGTAGACAATAGGTGTTCGAACACCGACAATCTATTTTCATCCTGGCCAAGTCTCTGCACCGTAGAGCCGGACTGGTCGAACTTCTGCAGCATATGCTCGACCCTTCACAGACAGCCGAATGTCGCGGCGACGCCACAAATGTCTCAAGTTGGCAAGTGCCAACCGAGCTTCTGTATGCGCGCCTACATTTCGTCTGTGACTCGTCCGCCAGGTGGAATATAGCTGCCCAGATAGCAAAACTTGTCTACTTCCTCTATTACTTTCCCAGCCACAGTGAATTTAATGAGCTGGGCCAACCCAATCTTGGAGCAGCATTTTGCACTTTGAAGGTGCAAAATGCACACCGAACATGGATACACCAGCACTCAAACTATCCAAAAAAACTTGCGACGTACTTGGATCTTCACTTAGCTGCACAATGTTGTCTGTATACTCTAGATCAGTCAATCTACCACCTGGGAGTAAATCGATGCCACTATCCTCGTACTAAGATAGAGTTGTTTCCATAGTCAAATCTATAACAAAGTTGATATAAAAGAAAGAGAGAGAGCAACTGTGACGAACATCACTTTTCGTGGTGAACTCGGGCGAAAAAGTGCCGTAAGCCCGGACTGGGCTTCATGTAATAGTATAACGGGATCTCAATGCTGAAATAAACATCTCGGGCACACCCTTCAGGGAAAGGTAGCGCCAGAGTTTAGGTAGTTCGACTGAGTCAATAGACGTTTTCAGATAGAGGAAGGCAGAGATGATAGGTCTACGAAAAGAATGTCGGTGCTCCAGAGTGTGGGGAAGTGTGAAGATGTGGTCGATACAACCTCGACCAGGTCTAGAGCTAGCCTGATTCTTACGCGTTCACGTTCACGTGCGGCAGACCATCGACGGAGTATGATGCCAGTGAGAAGTTTAGAGGTAATGTTGATTAAACTAATTCCTCTGTGGTTCCACAAGAGGGTCTGACACCTTTCCTGTAAATCGGTAAGATGACCGATTCACACTATATTGAGACCAGGAGTCTCATCAACTCCAAGACTAACGCTGAGCCTCCATCCTTAAACGCCGATAAGAACAGCCCATCTTTGCGGAATGTCTTATGCCTTTTTAAGTAGCTTATTTCTCGGGAAATTTCCGTTGCAGATAGAGAACTGATATCAACTGGGACTATTTGCCCAGTCGAGGTAGGGGAAGGGAGGCATAGATCGGATGTCGATGGGGGCCGGTTGAACTGAACCTCGAAATGTTCAGCCCAACGGTCGAGACTGCGTTGCTGATCGTGGATCAGTATGATATCGGATTCCTGACTTACCTCACGCCCGTTTCCCTGGGGCCCGTATTCCTAGTTAGATGGAAAAGATTGCGACCATTACCAATAGCCGCAGCTTTGTCCATCTCTTTACACTTTCCTATGCAGCACATCTTGCGGTCATTCTTCATACTCTTCTTGAGCTGGTGTTTGAGGGGTTTGCGTGCTGCGATATGTGGCATCGGGAGGGAGGGTTCTGCGGGCGTCCAGCAGGGCAGCCGAGGTCGGTGAGATCCACCAGTTGGTTTTTGAGCTTTCGCCTTGGTCCGACGTTGTTTCTATTGATATATGCATAGCTTGCTTGGTTTGCTTCCAGTGTTCATTGAGTCCTTCGGATGGTGGCTGAACTGGATGCTGATAGGAGGGCTTCTCTTCGAAGACGGATTCGCAACAATCGCTTACGTTTTACCCGGGAGTATCCGTTGTCGGTGGCTTTTTTGCGGTTGTTTGCCAGACGTAAAGACAATTTGGCTCGCCACTAGCCATATGGCTCGGTGACCACCAGTGAGATAAATGCAATCCTAAAATGGACGGCCGACACATTTTTAATCTGTTGATAAAATCACTACTTACTCTCGTTTGTTGCGCGTTCGATAACGACTTTATATCAGATAGCCTCAGCTGCAGTTGAAATTGAGGCATCATTTTCCAATCGGTAGCGTGAAAAAAACAGATACGGCTAGCCCGCCTGGACTATCCTTCATATTGCTTGTGTGCAATTTTTCTCAGTTGCAATCAAATCGAACCGTCAACTTGTTTCGATCTGATCGGTTTTCTCCCTCTCGGTTTTTGTCTTCATAGAGAAATTCCGTTGATTGGGCGGTAAATCTGGCGTATGTTCACGCCAAAGCGATATTAAGCTTTATCTGAGTGAGGTAAGAATTTGGTGAATGCATTTTTGAGAGTGACAATCATCGAAAATCTGCCTCATGGGTGCAACATTCCGCGCGATCCAGAGTGGCTCATATGCGAGAGACCAACAAAACGGTGCTCCGTATTCTCTTCCCGTCTAAATCATTAAGCTGGATAGATATTTACTTCTTTTGACAAATGAAACAAATTTCGTTGGCAAACTAGGTTCACAGATCATCTTTCTCCGTCTGCTGAATTGCTCATTATCCACCAGTGAGATAAACCCAAAATTCATATGGACATGCGTCGCGATTTGAATCTGTTGGTAACATCTGTACTTGCTCTCCTTTGTTATTCACCGAAAGAAATTAAAAAAAAACGAGTTCTTCGGAACACATGCATTCACTAGAATGAACAATCTCATAATACAGTAATCATTTGTTGAAAAGAAATAAAATTTCATGCTGCTTTACACAATTTTTTTCAATTTTGAGTGATAACTTTCGAGCTATTACAAATTGCGTGTTGCGAACCCAACAGCATTGCTTTGAGAGATAAAGTTCGGAATAAATGCTCTTCGACCATAGCTATTAATATCCACGGATGATTTTGGAAACTGAAATGTATTTCCAGAACAGGGGTCATGTTGCACGAATTCGATCAATACCTGTATAAGTAGTATGTGAATAATTGGAAAAATTTCCCTGAAAGCACACGACCGGTTTCGCGGTTCTTGCCGCTCGTCAGGCATGCGTATCCGGCAATCTTTTGTTAGTTCATTCATATACTTGTACCCAGGAAGTGTATTTTCGTCACAATAACCTTGTTTGCAACACCGGGTGACTGTTGGATAGACAGCTGTTTCAGAGCCAATCCATTGAAGAATCAATGTTTTGTAGGTGGATTAGTTGCTACTATCCGCCACAAACGCGACTTGATAGTCCCTNATTGCGTTTTCCCCGTTTCTACCTCTCTCGGTGTCCTTGTTTGCATTCTCGCTGTTCGCCTCGTTTTTTTCTCTATCTGTGTTGTTGACTAAACACAAATTGAATAATATATATCTTCTCAAAGCCAGTTTCACTGTATAGAACCACAAACGTTACACTTTCGTGCATCTGTTTTGGTTGCCATCTTTTTGTGCTACCTGTTTGGATGGAAGAATGGAATCAAAAACAGTAGCAGGTTGAGAACAGTACTGAGTGGAAGTCAACGAGAGATTCCGGTAGACCAAGTTTTCGACGAAACCAAGTAGAAAGCTAATAATTGGTTTTCACACACC